TAATATATCATAAAATTCTTCTTATTATATGGTTCTTGACTCACAACAACATTCTCAACATTATTATTTTTATCCATAGTATGCTGAGACTTATATGCTAATTACTTATATATATTATTAATAAACATACAAAAAAAACTATTTCATTAGAAATTCATAACAATATTGAACAATAAAATTTATAATAAAAGAATTTATCAAATAAAATATTTAAAAATATAATTACAAGTTCCATAAAATAAAAAATAAAAATCTAATATTAATAATATATATAAAAAATTATACTGTATATATTGCTAGGCATCACGCAAAAAACTATTAAAAATCTTGATTGAATATCGCCTGATTTTTAAAGACTCTCTAAAAGTTTAAATTGAATTTCAAACTTTTAAAGTTCATAAAAATTTTTAAAACTCTATAAAAGTTATGATTAAATACACTCCTCTTAGAGTATGATCTGGTCAGGACACCTCATGGCCTAAAAAAAAATTCTAGCCGTGTTTTGTTATTTAAAAAAAATAAAAAATAAATGAACATGCATGCATGTACTTTCAACTCAAAGAAACAAAAGTAGCGTCATCCCAATTTCCTGGAAATTGAACATACCCCTTCCAATTGATACTCACAATCCCTAGTTTTTTGTCCAAAGTTGTGCAACGAACATTCTTTTGTCTGTCTTGGAGTAAAATTCCAATCAAAGTCGGCTCAAAAAAATTTTACTATACACATTGAGAAAATTAAAACGTATTTGAGAAAGGGTCAAATACACTCTAAATTTTATACCAATAAAAGTCAATTAGACATATTTTTTTTAATACTATTGACTCTATTACAATGTAATATCTGTTCAAACATACTTTCTCAACTTACTGAAACACAAAGAGTCAATGCCCTGGGTTCAAACCTGAGACCTCTCATTTGAGGGTCCACAACTATGCCACTCGACCAAAAAAGTGCAATTAAATCCTCAAACATGTTGTTTATGTGCAACAAAATCCATCAGTCAGTAACAAACCTGTTATAGGTAGTCATTCTCATTCCGACGAATTTTTGGTCACAATAATTTCAAGTTGCCTTTTTCGGGAATGGTCTCTTTCTCCCGGGAAAGGCGACCTTTTCTAATTGCCTTCTCAAGAGAAGGCAATCTTTTCTAGTAAAAATATTAAATTTTCATCTTAATCAATCCGTCTCACGAATAAAAATCTGTGAGACATCTCATACAAGATTTTACCTTTTTTTTTTTTAATAATATTAAAGAAGAATACAAATAAAACACTAAATTGTTTTTTTTTTTTAAAGAGAGAGAAAGAACTATGTGGGCGCGTTGTGTGCGGGGAGGAGAGAGGGGGACCACATGAAAACTGTCGTCACTCTAGAAGTCATTCTATATAGTTTACTTTCTTTGAGCTAAGCAAATGACATCATTGGTCACACGGATTACTCAATTTCTGAGTTCTTACCGTGTTGGCGTGTACAAACAACGAAGTATATAATCTTTTTTAATGCTACTTACTCTATTATTACAATGTAGTATTTGGTCATAAGTAACTACTTTCTCAGTAGAGTCAATAACGCACCCACTAAAGCTTGAACTCACAACCTTCCATATGAAAGTCCAACCCGGGTGCCATATGTACACAAAGGTGCTTGACAACGAAGTATATATCTATTTATATTATATTTAGGATTTTTTTCTCAAAAAAAAAAAACTAAATATAATATAAATATATTAACTCCCTTCTGTTTTATGTGTTTTATTTGATTAACGAGGCTTAATTTAAATTATTTTTAATTGAATTTTTAATAATATTAAGTTTAGTATTACTGTATTAGTATATAAAATTTATATATTTAAAAATTATATTAATAATACTATTAAACCAAAAAAATCAAATTTAAAAATCATTAAGAAATATTAAAGAAAAAAAATAAAGAAGAAATAATTGATTTGACTTATAAATAATAAAATAAGACAGATGTAATATAAAAGTAAATAATGTTAAGTTTAAGAAAAATAACTTTTTTAGCCTTTCAATTGTGTCATAATAGTAAGCTTAATATTTTAATTATAAAGATGGCCCTATTTAGTCACTAAAGTGTTTGCATAGTGGCCATTTTAGTCCCCCACCTCATGTAATTGTTAAAATCTAATATTAATGCAAGGGAAACTTTGAAAATTCATTTAATTTGCTTCTCCCAAATACAAATCAATAAGTATATAATTGAATAGTGGATGAAGCTTCTAAGAAGATGTTAATGAATTATTGATGAAGTATATAATTGAATATGAAATTTGCGGTAAATATTTGTGCTACACATAAATGCGAAAGGAAAATATTATAGTACTAGAAAGCTGAATTCTCCTATACTAGAAAAGTTTTGCTCGTAATTGCATGAGACATTCTACTTTCATTAATCCAAATGGTATTTTCCAACTAGTTCATCCATGGTTATATCTCGACGATTTCCAACCTAAATCTGATCATACAAAAACACCGTTATTTCATTATCATCCTTTTCTTGTATAGAACGATGGAGAAATTTCATGGACCTCTCACGTAGCAAACATTAAGAATGTCTCTAACACTCAGAGAAACTTCTCATCTACTATTAAATATAGCATATTTTGTTCTTCTGTGAATTTTAGTGTTCAAATTCTCGAACTATAACAATTGACTGACTTTTTGTGTTGAGTTCGAGTATTCTAAGAGTTTTTATGGTGGAACTAGAATCATAGGCCAAGAAACAGATGACCGAAGTCATCAGAGAGTAGTAAAAAATGTTGAAGTAAATAGAAAACTAGGGATGTCAATTAGGCCAATTCGGTTTCGGGCTAGCCCTGTCGGGATTATCAATTCAGCCTAATCGATTATTTTATTATTTTGTTTTTGGGTTTAGGTTGGTCCTAACCTTGAACCTCGGACTACCACACTTATCGAGCTGGCTGAACAACTGAAGTAAAATTGAAATATGGGAGTGGATACGCACATTTAAAGTCGTCAAAACGTACCTAACCCGTCTTGTTAGACCCGTTTAGCCTAATTTTAGACGGATGGGTTGTATATTTCTCCGACCCAGCTCGAACAGATTTAGTCCATTTAGCTTATAAGGGTACTTAAGTTATATAAGTTGACCCGTGTAACCCATATAACCAGCCACCTCTAGTCGGACCCTCACCCTAAGTTTATTTAAATATTTTTAAATTTAAATGTAATTGGCCGGTACTAGAATTTAAAAGTATTGTTAATAGTAATAATTCAACTCTTAACATCTTATTTACTCTTAACCTCACAAAACCAATTATGCTAATGGTATTTGTTGAATTTGTATAACTATATATTTATTTAAATTAATCACAATCATTATATATATATATATATATATATATATATATATATATATAAGACGAATTTACCTATAAAATCTATGTATCACTTCTATAATAAAAAAATAATCTTAATAAGTGGCTCGGGCTATTGGGCTAGTCCATTAAATTTCAAGATAGTCCATTCGCGCCACCGAGCTTATTAGTTTCAAGTTTATCAGGTTAATTTTTTATCGGGTTCGGATCTAAACCTAAATATTTTTGATTTTATCGGGCTAGCCCATTGAGGTCAGGTTAAGATTTACATCCCTAAGAATACCAGTTGCCGATATTGCGATAAACAATGATGAGCCTATGAAAATTTGGCACTAGAAGAGTCTTTCACGAAATGTTAAAATGGCTAAAGTTGGCTCCTTTTCTCCCCAAAGTATGGCTTTTCTATCAAACTAATTTTGATCATGGTATTTGAATATCATTTGTTGTAGTTGAAGTTGTAACCATTGTAATATATATTATTTTTCTTCTTTGTCTACTATGTAATTTCATGTAGATAAGTTTTCATATTTATTCTTACATCAATGTTAGGTTTTAATAGATACTTGAGGTGAGGGACAAAAATGACCACTACACAAATAATTCAGTGATTAAATCTGGTCATCCTTATAATTAAGTAACTGATTTTATCATTATGGCACAATAGAGGGAACTAAGAAGACCATTTTTCCTTTAAGTTTATAACAGAAATACAAATTGTATTGATGTAATAAATTGTACTAGTAATTCACCCGCGCAATGCACGGGAAAAAATTATGTTATTATAAATATAAATAAAAAATAGAAAAACTAAAATATTTTAAATTATTTAATATAATAATATTTTTGAGCTTCTATTGGTCAAGTATTTATTATTTTTATAGAATACAAAATTAAAATTAAAATTAAAATTAAAATTATAATTTTGTATGGTTAATATAATCTCTAATTATGTGTGTATTCAAATAAACTTATACAGAGAATTTACATAATTACATTGATTTATTCTTAATTGTATTTCATCTATATTATAATTTTCACAATACAAATAATAACTAAGATAATTACATTTGGAAAGCAAATTTTAAATTTTGTATGTGTAAATTTAAACTCTAATTGAACACATTTTTTATATGATTATATAATATATAGCTATTTTATTTTTCAAAAGTATATTTTTTATATGATTATATAATATACAGCTATTTTATTTTTTAAATGTTGTGCTTTTTTTTTTTAATTTAATAATAAAGGATGTTGTGGCATTAATTGTAACATTAATTATTTTCCAAACCATATAGTTTTATTATATAAAGGATGAATGCATATATAACTTATACCTTATGTTTCTTTTTTATACTTAAAAAAAATTCTATAAGTTTCTAAAACATCAAATGCTCATTCATACGAGTTTTCAATGGCCGTAAACTTCACCCAAAATTCATTATATGTTCTTTGTGGTCCAAAAGTTTGAAAATAACAATATTCAAAATTTACCAAGACTTCCACATGAGGACTATATCTACGAATGAGGTGCATGGCTTTGCAAAATCATACTACTATAAATATGGTTGAAGAAGATGGCTCCTTATAAACATTACCAAAAACAATATTTTGACTTGCATAACAACAACCTGCATTGATGACTCCTTTCTTGTTTTCTATAATCCATTTATGGCTACTAATTGTTTCATCCAACATTGTAGCTTCCATTTCCCATTCTCAAGAAGAAGCTAATGCCCTACTCAAATGGAAGGAGACACTTCAAAACCACCAAAATATTTCCATGCTTGCTTCATGGGATCTTCTTCAACCTTCAAGTCCATGCACTTGGTATGGGGTTTCTTGTGTTGGTGGAAGAGTGATGAGGTTGAATCTCAGTAATGGTAACATTAATGGTACGCTCCATAGTTTCCCATTTGCATCTCTTCCAAATCTTGAGTATATTGATTTCAGTATGAATGCGTTATATGGTACTTTGTCACCACAAATTACTAACCTTTCTGAACTGACATATCTCGACTTATCAATGAATCGGTTTTCAGGGAATATTCCCGAACAAATTTCTTTGTTAACCAATCTTCGAACCCTCCATTTGTTTCAGAATCAGTTGAATGGTTCCATTCCTCGAGAAATAGGAAGGTTGAGAAAGCTAAATGAGCTTGCCTTGTACCATAACTCGCTTAGTGGACCTATTCCTAACTCTTTGGGCAATTTAACCAACCTTACTCATTTGTTTCTATACCAAAATTTACTTTCTGGTCAGATTCCTCAAGAAATTGGTAACCTTATCAAAATTGTTGGTATTTACTTGAACAACAACAATCTTGATGGTACGATTCCATCCACTTTGGGAAACTTGACAAGTCTAGAGAAACTCATGCTTTTCAATAACAAAATTGTTGGTCCCATTCCATATGAAATTGGGCAATTGAAATCACTTCAATATCTTTGCATCCACTCAAACAACCTCATTGGCACAATACCCACATCACTTGGAGGGTTGACCAAGTTGACAAAACTTCACCTTTACTCAAACCAACTTCTTGGCCCAATTCCCAAAGAGTTGGGTAACCTCACCCTTCTCAATGATCTTGAGCTAAGCTGCAATGAAATCAATGGCCCCATTCCAACTTCTTTGGGTAACTTAACTAAGTTGGAAACATTATATCTACGCCAAAACAATATTTCTAGTACCATACCTAAAGAGTTAGGAATGCTAGAATATATACTTGTTCTTGAATTAGACCACAACAACTTGAGTGGCCCAATCCCAGAACATCTTTGTCGTGGTAGAACCCTACAAAACTTCACCGCCGCCAACAACATGCTTTCGGGTCAAATCCCAAAAAGCTTCAAAAACTGTTCGAGTTTGGTTCGAGTCAGGTTGGCTGAAAACCAGTTAACAGGAAATGTTTCTGAACTTTTGGGTGCTAATAATCCTAAATTGTTATTCATGGAGCTAAGTGCAAATAGGCTAAGTGGTGAGCTTTCTAGCAACTGGGGTGAAGCAAAGAAGTTGCAGCAGTTGTTACTGGCAAACAACAATATCACAGGTACCATTCCTCCAGAAATTGGAAATTTGACTCAACTAGGCTTCCTGGATCTTAGTTCAAACCATTTAACTGGGGGGATTCCTAGAGAGCTTGGGAGGTTGAGTTCTTTACTTAAATTTCACTTGCAAAACAACAAGCTCTCAGGGTGTATACCACAAGAGCTCGGTTCATTAACCGGGTTGTTGCAACTCGACCTATCCAGTAATAGGTTGAACTCGTCAATCCCGGGCATGATTGGGAGTTTCATGTCACTTATTTACTTGAACCTGAGTAACAATAATTTGATTCGTGGAATCCCCATCGAGATAAGTAAGTTGTTTCAACTTAACGAGCTCGATTTAAGCCATAATTTTCTTACTGGGGCACTTCCAGCTGAGTTGAGAAAGCTACAAAGCTTGGAGACATTGAATCTCTCACACAATGGTTTGTCTGGATCAATTCCTAGTACTTTTGAAGCAATGTGTGGGTTGATGTATATTGACTTATCTTATAATCACTTGGAGGGTTCTATTCCAAAGAACAAGGCTTTCAAGAATGCTTCTTTGGAAGGAAATAAAGGCTTATGTGGGATTAACATTATAGGGTTACAACCATGCAAGAGTTCTTCAATGTGTAAGAGCTCTAGATTGAAAGGATACCAAATCTTGTTCATGGTTTTATTCCCTTTTATAGGAGCTTTGGTGCTTACAATAGTACTCAAACGCTTCTTAAAGCGTGGCAGAAGAGAGAAACCCCTTGAATTGAATATATTATCAGTGCTAAATTTCGATGAAAGGATCCTTCACAGTGAAATATTGAATGCCACGAGGGGATTCGATGCCAAATTTTGCATCGGAAAGGGAGGATATGGAAGAGTTTACAAGGTAACGCTCCCCGTGGTTGGCACTGTGGCTGTAAAGAGAATGCATCCCTCCATGAGAATGGAAAACCACGACGCCTACTTAAACGAAATCAATATGTTGCAAAGCATCAAGCATAGGAACATTGTGAAGTTTTTCGGGTTTTTCTCAAATGAGGAGCACACACTCTTGATCTATGAGTATCTTGAAAATGGCAGCTTGGGCTCTTGTCTAAGGAATTTTGACAAAGCTAAGGAACTGGATTGGTTCAAGAGGGCAAATATCATCAACGGTGTTGCTCACGCCCTTTCTTATATGCATCATGATTGCTCACCTCCCATTGTTCATCGAGACATATCAAGCAACAATGTCTTGCTTGATGGCGATGATGAGCCTCACATCTCAGATTTTGGCACTGCTAAGCAATTAGGGCGATATTTATCATCAAGTAAAGTGGAAGGCACATACGGATACATTGCACCAGGTTAGTGTGCATATCTAAAACTTTCACAAAACATTACTCCATATAGGATAGTAAAGCTCATGGACCTGCATGCACACATATATTTTCCTTGTCAAATTCTCTTAAAACACCGTCTCATGAATCCTCATTCGTGAAATACATAAGGTTTTTGATAAGTATTTTTTCTCACATAAGTATTGCTATCATCATAAGTATCCCTTTTTTTAACTCTTAATATTACATTTTTATTTAAAAGTATTACATTTTTCAATTTATCATAAGTATTACACTTTCTCTAATAAGTAACAATTAAAAAATTTATCTATAATTAGTATTATGTTTTCTCTCATAACACTACTGAAAATTATGGAATTTCCGACCACCTGAAAGTGATCTTAAATCAAGTTGAAAGCAAAATGTGGTCAGAAATAGCAATAAAGGTTTTTCCGGATACCAAAAGTGGTCGGAACAAGGCTTTCAACTTGATTTAAGATCACTTTCAAGTGGTCGGAAATTCCATAATTTCCATTAGTGTAAGTAACTATTCACCCCTAAATATTACATTTTGATATAAATGCTTTAAATTATTTTGTCATTAAGTTATCTTCTAGAATTTTCTATTGTCAAACTTAAATGTATGCACTCAACACTTAGGATCCGTTTGGAAACCTAGAATATGTTTTTTGAAAAATAATATATAGAAAATGACTCATTTCTGAAAACTATTTTAATTTTCTGGTGTTTGGTTGAAGGTCTAAAAGCTATATTTTTCTGTATGACTGAAAGTTATGAAATTGTATTTTTTGTTTGGTTCATTTTCTTAAAATAACATATTATTTGTTATAATAATAATAATAATAATAATAATAATAATAATAATAATAATAATAATAATAATAATACGTGGTGGTGATGGTGGTGGTGTGGTAGAAGTGGTGTTGGTGGTAGTTGTTGGTGTTGGTGGTGTGGTAGTGGTGGTGGTAGTTGTTGGTGTTGGTGTTGGTGTTAGGGTTGGTGGTGGTAGCGGTGATAGTGATGGTGGCATGGCGATAGTGGTGGTCTGGTAGTGGTCATGATGTTGGTGATGGTGATGGTGGTGGTGGTGTTGGTGATGGTGGCGGTTGTGGTGGTGTTGGTGATGATGGTGATGGTGGTGGTGGTGTTGGTGATGGTGGCGGTTGTGGTAGTGATGGTGGTGGTGTTGGTGATGGTGGCGGTTGTGGTGGTGTTGTACGTGGTGGCGATGGTAGTGGTGGTGGTGGTGGTGATGGTGGCGGTTGTGGTGGTGGTGTTGTGATGGCGATGGTGGTGGTGGTGGTGGTGGTTGTGGTGTTTTTGTTAGTTGTGATGGTGGTGGCGGTGGTGGTGGTAGTGATGGTGGTGTTGGTGTAATGGTGGTAGTGGTGTTGTGGTGTTGTGGTGGCGATAGTGGTGGTGATTGTGGTGCTTTTGTTAGTGGTGATGGTGGTGGCAGTGGTGGTGGTAGTTGTTGGTGTTGGTGGTGGTGGCGGTAGAGATGGTGTGGTCGTGTTGTGGTATGGTGATGATGTTTGTGGTGGTGGTAGTATAATAATAGTAAGCCAGAAATGAACTTATTAAAAAAAGAACCTAGATGGAAAATAAAGAATTCAGAAAATTGTCTTCCAACTTAATTAAAAACTAGGAAGACATTTTCAGCCAAATTGTGCTCTTTTTTTCATTTACCAAAATGGATATTTTATTTTGACTTCATTTTCCTTGAGTAATATAATTAGGAAAATCCAGAAAATGACTTTTGAAAGCCTTTTTTTTTGGATTTCCAAACGAAACATAAACGTATTATATTTTTCCAAGTATTACAGTTTTCTTTATAAATAATAAATAATTTATTCCTGATTAATATTATATTTTGCAACATGAGTATTACATTTCTATCATGACATGGCCCATCCCTAGGCCTGACCTTGAACAAGGGCAGGCAGGGCCACACTTGGAAGGGGCCCACCAACCCACCCTACTACGTTTTATATATACCATAGAGTTTTTGTATAAGTATATAATATATACATTAATACTACTAAAATATTAGTTAGTTTAATTGGTGAGATTCTTTATTTATATGTTAAAGGTGAGGGGTCAAATCCTCATTTGTGATTTTACATTAAGGGTGTGTTTGGTTGAGGGGTTTAGCACTTGGGTATGGGTATGAAAGTGATTGTAAGTGTTTGGTTGGCTGATTTTTAAAACATTACTATGGGTTTGAAATATCCTATCAATCAAAAAACCCATACCCTTATAAAATAAGGGTTTCCCTTATGGGTTTCATTTCCTGAAATTTAGCTGAATTATTAATGCCAGTATGTTGGGAGGGATCACTATTTGATTTCACTGGTCATTGCTCTTCTTCTGTGTACAGAACAATTACTCCAAATTGCAATATACTACTTGTTGTTCATTGTCACACTGGTTCAATATTTTCTCACTTCGGTTTCACCTTCCGGGTAATTTTGATTGGTAATTTGATTTTTAAGTTTGATTAGTGCTTTTAGATTTTTGTTTTTATTTTTTATTTTTTCATATTAGTGTTTTGTGTGTCTTTATATTAGAATTAATTATTTTTTATTTTTTATTTTTTATTTTTTGTTCTTGTATTTTTAAAATCTTTATTCTCATTATAGGATTATACATAACCAAACAACAATATTGATAATCATTCCAATTCCACCATACTACCAAACATGCTAAATATTTTCACTAAAACTCATTATCATTACCTAGTATTTGATACCCATTCTGATTCAGATCCATGTGCGAACCAAACACACCCTAACTTTTGCATAGTATTTAGAAGATGAATTTAGATGTATTATTATGTGGTATTAAAATTGTAATTTATGGAATTATTTCTATTTCTAATTTGTATTTTTTTATTTAATTTGTAACTTTGTGAGTTTTGTTAACCTTTACATAACTGTAGTAAGATTTATAATATAGATTAATTTGTGATGTATATCAAATTTTGAATATTTCTATTTGAGTAATTTACTATTTATATTTAGAATATGTGTTATTTTGTAAACTTTATAATGAGTTATGTATATGTAATATATTTTGTTTAGTACGTTTGAAAAATATTTTAAAAGATAGTGTTTTTTTTTTTATGAATTATCTAGTCAATGTAGTTTAGAAGTTCTATTGTTCGTAATCATATTCAAACTAATCTAGAAAAACTTGAAATTGATCTAACTAAAATAAAAATTATTTATAAATATGATAGCAATATAGAAGATGTGTGATTTATAATGTGTTTTCTATGCGAACTATTTTATCCAATTAATTAAATTTTATATTTTATTATGAATATCTTTTATCACATTTAAATTATTACTGCCAATAATTAAGATTTAATGCTCTACTTGTACATGTAAGTTTTGATTTGTAATTTTTTACTAATAATTATTTTATTATTTATTATAATAATAATGTGATTAATTTTTTATTTCTTTTTGTAAAATATAATTGTTTATTTATGAAGGCATTGATGCGGTTATTGAGTCTTTTGGATTTTTTTTTTTTAATGCTACTGGCTCTATTACATTGTAGTATCTGTTCATATACTTTCTCAACCTGAGGCTCAAACTCACAACCTTCCAAATGAAAGTCTAACCCGGGTACCATTAGACCACATAGTCCTGGTTGATTCTTTTGGATTTAAGAAAGCATCTAGAATTATTTTCATGTGAAGTAAAATTGTTAAAAACTTTTTAATCTTATTTCAAGTTATTTGATATTAGTATTCTTTCCCTTATTTAATTTAAATTTTAGTTATAAAAATGTAAATGAGTTTAATGTAGGGTCCATTTTTGTTGTTATGCCCTAAAGCTATGAAATGATACAATTGTTATACAATAGACCATGGTCCACACATCACACATCACACATCGTTGTGTGGACCATGATTGTTGAATTAAACTGTAGTAGAATTAAAATGATCTTTAGTATTACTATAATGAAACTAGTGTGTGAAAAATAAAATAAAACACAGAGCACATTATATATTGTCAAATGAAATTGTAGTATAATTGAAATGATACTTTAGTATTGCTACAATGAAACTAGTGTGCGTGAAAAATGAAATTAAAATCCAGAGCCGCCATACAATAACATACATTATCAAACTGACATGAAGTGCAATTAAAATAATACTTCAACATTAGTATAATTAAACTAGTTTGTGAAAAATATAATGAAACAAAAAATTAGAGCTCAAGCAATAATGTATATTATCAAATGAAAGTATAGTAGAATTAAAATGATATTTTAGTATTGCTATAACGAAACTAGTGTAGAGGGAAAATGAAACTAAAAAACATAGCAATATTGTCAAATGAAACTGAAGTATAATTAAAATGATACATACTTCATGGTCAACACTGCTACGTAAACCATGGTCCACAATAAAATTTGCCAAAACGATAGGCAAATTATGTTGTGCAACCGTGTGCACCATGCATGGTGCACACGGAATTGGATCTATAATTTCTATACTATAGATCCATAATTTCTATACTATAAATTTATAATTATTGAACTCTATATCACAATTACAAAACTCTATATCACAATTACAAAACTCTATATTCATAATTTTCAATGTTCATATATCCAATTATTGAACTCTATATTCACAAATCACAGAACTATATGTTCATAATTTGATAACTATACAGTTTAGAAATTATGAATCTATAGTATAGAAATTATGAATCTACAGTATAGAAATTATAAATCTACAATATAAAATTATGAATTTATAGTATAGAAATTATGGATATATAGTATAGAAATTATGGATCCAATTCCATGTGCATGGTGCACACGGTTCATAGCATAACGCTCCAAAACGATAGAGTTGGGCCTACCATTCTCACAAACAAGGACCCCTGAGACGTCTCACAAAAAGCTCACTCATTTTCCTTTTGTTTTGCAGAGCTAGCTTGTAACGCAAAAATCACAGAAAAGAACGACGTGTACAGCTTCGGAGTTTTAGCATTAGAAGTGCTGAAAGGGAAGCATCCAACCGACTTCCTTGCATCATCTCTAGCTTCCCAATCGGTGGATGAAGAAGAAGAAGAAGAGCTAAAGGGGTTGTTGGATCAACGACTTCCCTCTCCCATGAATGAAGTTGAAGGCATTGTTAAAACCATTGTTAAGATTGCCAAGGAATGCTTGCATGCTAATCCACTCTCCAGGCCAACCATGAAGAGAGTATCTCAACACCTCTCTAAGCACCCTTCAACTTCTTATAAATAAGTTGTATATATCCTGGTATTCATATCTTCATGACTGAATAAGCTAGGATTTTAATTTGCATCATATATCATAGATTATATTATTCCTTTGTATATACTTGTAATTCACTTGTGTGATGCATGGATTGTAACTTTCTTTGGATGGTGTAAAATAATTTTTAAAAAATAATTGAAATATTATATAATATTATAAAAATTTTTATTTTATTGACTCACAACACAATTGGAATTTTATACTGATGTGATTTAGAATGAAAGTGCATGTCTTTGAAACTGCAGAAAACTTAGAGTATCTCCATCTATGGATTTAGTCATTTAGGGTAGTTTTTTTGAGAAAGTAAGGATGATGTGGATGAAAGGGGGTGAGGAGAGAGAAGCTAGACATAGGATTTCATGCAGGAGGTGTGGTTTTTAGTATGAAAATGTGGGCCTACATTGAGAAGAAGGTTTTCCTTGTTCGTGCGTTCAGCGCAACTTGCACGCCAGGCGCGTAAAATCTTTTGTACTATTTTTTTTATTGGCAGACATTTTTTTTTTCCTTCTATCTTCTCTTTTCTAATTACACCTGTAAAAACACTTCAAAAACCACAACTATTGAGGATGCTCAATTGATCAGGAAAGAACTGAGAACCAATTATAGCCATCCACGTGTCTAGTTCTAACAATTTAAAAAAAAAAAAAAAACTGTTTTTTTTTTTTTTTTTAATGTGGTGGATGATGTTCATTATAATCTCTAATTGTTGATGTTCCTATGAGAACCAACCTCCACATGAGTCAATGAGAATCAATTTGGCATTAAAAATATACATCTATAGATGAGATTAATTAGAAGAATTAAAAACACGCGTGTGTATATGGCGCATTAATTATGTTTCCTACCAACAATTCTGATCAACATATAATTGGACGGAAGTTAAGGTGTTTTTCTAACTTTGTAATCATGATTTTAGGTAAGGATGGGCGTTTCGGTTCAATTTTTTCCGGTTTCGATTTCGGTTTTTCGGTTTTAAAAAAGTTAAACCATTCGGGTTCAGTTCGATTTGAAACGGTTCGGATTTAATTCGGTTCGGTTTAAGATCTCCAAATTTCAACATTTCCTAATTTTTCGAACATACTACCAAACAATACATATTCACATAATCCAAATTCAAACTCTAAACATTATATAAGAAAATAGCAATCCAAAGTTCAAACACAATACTAAGTACTAATTACCAAACATCAGTTAACGTTTTTGCACAACCGACTCTTCAGTTGGTTTAGTTGGAATATTTTTATTGATAAGATAAATAATCATCTATCTGTATAGTTGATATTAAAAGAACTAGTGTCAATTACTATATAGTTAATTTTTGGACACAATCTATCATTGCTAGTGCACTCGAAATATATTCCAGTACTAGAAAATAATTATAGTGCACTGGAAATCAAAATTAGAATAACTGTAAAGCACATTAAATTTATAGAAAAACATGAAACTAAGAAAAATACTGAATATTGTAAATATAACTCAAGTTAGATATAATTGTGAGACAAAGAACAATTGCAACAAACAACAAAAGTGCAATGTAGAAAACAAGCTATAAAGAAATCAAATAAAAAATGTAATGTTCGGTACCAGTAAGAATGAGAACTGAACGACAGAGCAGACATCAAGGAACTTGGATTTACTTTTTTTTATTATTAATTATTATTATTATTATTATTTATTAAAAAAATTATATAGCATTCGGTTCGATTTGATTTTTGTCAAACCGTTCGGTTTGATTCGGTTCGATTCGGATAAACCGAACCGAAGTGCCCACCCCTAATTTTAGGTAGTTGGAAGGTTGTCCGGAAAATTTCGGTAACCCTTATGAGTAAAACCAACAATAATGGTTGGTTGCATTGTTGTCGTAGTTAATTTGAAATTTGAATTTTTTGAAAAATTATTGTATATATACAGTGAAGAGTAGCGAATTGAAGGGAAAACAAAAAAACAAAAAAAAAAAAAAACAAAACAAAACAAAACAAAACAAAACAAAAAACAAAAAACAAAAAAAAAAAAAAAGAGGAGAAGACAGAGGAAGAAAACGATGAGGAAGAAGAAGAGAATGCCGGAAGAAGAAGCCAATTCCGTTCACCACTACCGAGGGGGAAGATGAGCAGAAGGAGAGGAAAGAATAGAGAAGTGAACAAAACGAAGAAGATGGCAACTTAAATAGAAGAAAAGGAAGCTAAGCTAGTCACCAAAAAAAAATTAATTTTTTTAGAACGATTATTTTAATCTCTCAATTATATTATAATAGTCAATTCAGTCCATTAATTATACATGTGATCCTATTTAGTCTCTAAATTATAAATGTATAAAGAAATTAAAATATAAATTATGAATAATCTTATATTTACAAATAATAATTATATAAACTAATTAAAGTGTTATTTTAATTTTAAACTATAGTTAAAAGATTATTAGGTTGGGATTATCCCAGTAAATTTTTGATTGGCAAGATGATGTGACATTTGCTACTCACATTTATATTTTTTTTTATTGCTTATTTGGGTTGTAAATTTGACTATGGTGCAAATTTACAATCTAGTACAAAAGCTATGCCGCAGTTTTTGTACTTTTAAAAAAAAATTGTTTGTTTATTTATTTTGTTTTTTTTTTCAATTTTATTTATTATTTTTTTGTTTATTTTGTGTGCTTTATTTTTATAAAAAAAAATGATTCTTTATTTATATGTAATTTGTTTAATTTTAGTTATTTCAATGTCTTCAAATTTGTACTTGGGTTAATTTTAATGATTCCAAGTACTTCAAATTTGTAAGGTTCATTTGAGGTTAAGTTTTACAATTCAAATTAATAACATGGATTATTTTAGATTTAAAAAAAAAATTGTAGTATAAATTTGCATTCGGTTATATACATAGTACGGATAATTTTTTAAATTGTTTTTAAAAAATTACGTTTTTAGATTTCAGTATTGCTGTTTTTAATATTTAAAAGTAATTTATATAAAAAAAATTATGTTTTTAGATTTTCATTTTGTTATTTTTAATATTTAAATGTAATTTATATATTGATATAAATTAATAATGTTGAAGGGAAAATAATATTTATTTAGGAAAAGAAATTATTTTTTAAAAGTGATGTAAATTTGGGGTTTACCTAGTTGATTGGATTTTTAGGGATGTAATGTGTATAGTAAATGATTTGTAAATTGGGTGATATGAAAATGAGACTCATTTTTAGAGTGAGTGAGATTTACAGGGACAAGGATAGCCTTAGACTTTTCAATAAGTATAATTTTTATTTGTGTTTCTATGTTATTAAATTGGTGCGCTGACACCACTGGATTACATTGCTAACTCCACAACTATTCACTATCTCTAACTAATCAACTCGGCTTTAGATGCTTCTTAAGGCTTCTCGTAATCATCTCTCTATCTCTCTCTTTCTCCCCCTCCCCTCTCTGGTCAGGATTTTCAACCACTTGAATGCCCCTCTCTCTCTCTCCCCCTCCCTCTCCTCCTCCCCCTCTCTGGTCAGGGTTTTCAACCACTTGAATGCCTTTTACTCTTAGCAATATGCGATTGACTAGCACCTCATTCAAACTTGAATAGGGGTATTTATAGAAAAGTTTGAAAATTTGTCCGTTTGAGGAAAACAAATTTAAAACGTCTCTGAACCCTTGTGTAATGACCAATGGATATGCGGTAGATTTTTTTTTTTTTTTTTTTTTTGTAAGATTTCCCGTCGTTGACAATACTTTTGCTCTAGACATTGCTTTTTTATCTACTCCTTTTGTCTAGACCTTTTTGGAAAATCTACCTTGAGATCAGGGTGACCGCATAGGGCCCCTAATTTTTGGGGGCCCAATTTTTTTTAAAAAAATATTATATATATAAAGTTATTGTTTTTATACTTATGAATATGTTTTTAAAATCAATAGATTAGTCTTAATTGTAATTAAAAACAAAATTTTAAAAAGAAGAGAAATAACACTTTTTCCCCTTGAGTTATATACTTATAGCACTTTTTTCTTCTAAATTATTCAAGTGGCTGTTTTTCCCTCCTGAAATGTTAAATGGAAACATTTACCCTTAAAATAAATATTTCATTTTTTTTTCTCCAACAAATTATGACCACAATTTGGTTCAAACCGAATAGACACTATAACAACCAAACCGAAATATTCCAATTACAATTAAAATCGAAACCTGATATTTAGAGTTTATTAAAATCGTGAACCGGATCCGGAACCGCCGGTTTATGGTTCATGATCCAGTTTTTTTGATTCATAATTTAATAAACTGAAATCCAAATATTGGGTTCCGGATATGAATCATAACCGGAAACTTTCAATTCGATTTCTATAGTGTCTGGTTCACTTCGAACTGAATCGTGGTCATCCCTACATATACGCAATAATTTGTTGGAGAAGAAAAATAATTAAAATGTTTACTTTAAGGGTAGAAATGTCAATTTAATATATCGGAGGGAAAATCGCCACTTTTAGAATAATTGAGGTGGCTAATGTGCTTACATAAATTATTCAGGGGGGAAAAAGTGCTATAAGTATATAACTCAGCGAAAAAAGTGTCATTTTTCCTAAAAAGAATTGACATTAAAATTTTGATAAATGAGGTTTTATTTAAATATGCACTAAAAATGTTATTTTTAAATAAAATTTTGTATTGTACCATTTCTTTGTTGAATTTTTATGCATTATATTTGCACAAAATTTTTATTATAATTTTTTTTTGTTATATAATACAATAACATAAAGTTCAAATAGATTTAAACTCAATTTCCTCACTATAAATAGACAGGGCCCCTATTTTTTATGGAACTGCCCTGCTTGGGATGTGTACCTAGGACTCCTTTTCCTTGGTAACATTCTTCTTGCAACTTGAGCATTTGAGCATTATTACAGTTTGTTCAGAGAATGTCCGAACAGTAGATATGAGAAGTTAACCATTAACTTCTTGTGGTTAACCTTTCAGATATTTTCCTCA